TTTTTTTTTTTTTTTTTTTTTTTTTAAGAATAAACAGGTTCTTAAAGAATTTACACACAACCTGTCTGGGAGCAGCTTTTAAAACAGGGTTAGGGAAGCAAACTAGGGGATATGAAATAAGAACGGAAGATTAATTTCGGCGGAAGCCGGTGAGCACACCGCAGGGCCACCAGTCTGACTATTCTTTTTGTCGGTTTTACATTTTTCACGAGATGACATTTAAAGAGCAAAAAGAGAGGGTCAAAGGAAGAGGCCCCAGAATCATGGTCTGGGAGGGAGGAGGAAAAGCATCTGCCCACCTCCCACTCCCCCAGCCGAAGGATCCCCATTTGGGGAATGAGGATGACCCTGGGCCTCAGGTCCCAGGAGCACCACCAGGAGTATCGGTCCCAAGACGAAGGAAACTGATGGTGAAGATCCCGCAGGAGAAACTGACCTGTTCCCGCTGCTCCCGGCTACCCTGCTCCGTGTCCCCCTGCTGTCCAAGCAGCTCTCGGAGCTGCTCCTCCTCGCGCCTGGCAGCCACCCGCTCCCCAGCCAGCTCGCCCCGCAGAAGGGCTACTTCCACCTCCATCTGTGGGGAGAATGTACGGGCTGGGGCCTAGAGGTCTGGGTCCGAGGAAGGAGGGCGCTGCGGACTCAAACACCTGGGTCCAAGTGGGGTGCCTGGGAGTATGGGCTCTTGGATTCCCAAGGAGAGGGCTGGAGGCCTAAGAGTGGGATCCCGCTGGAAGAAAGGCCCCGGAACCCGACCTGGAGGGCTCCCCTTGAGCTGGGGCCAGACTGCCCACGAGGTCCGCAGCCTCACCTCGATCCTCAGCTCCTTCCTCTGGCGCTGTAGCTCCTTCACGCGCTGCTCCATCAGGGCCACGCGGGTCAGTGCCTCCAGCTGCTGCTCTCGAAGCCGCCGTGCAGCCCCTCGCACTCTCTCCCCAGGCTGGGAGGATGAGGGGGGCGTGACTGGGGTCGGTGCCGGGGGCGGAGCCTCCCCCTGAGGTTGGAGGGGGCATGGTCAAGAGGAGAGGCCCCGCCCCTGCAATCACCAAGCAGGTCCGTTCCCCACCGCATTCCCGGGTCTGGGGGTCTGATTAGCCCCAATCAGTCGCCACCCCCGTTGACTGAAGTGGGTGTAGGTGTGGGAGACCCCCGGCCCGGGAGGAGGCCCAGGGGCTCGCAATCGGAGAAGGGGGGTACGCGGCCGACTCAAGGAAGGTCCCTTTTTCGCTACCCAGGTCCCATTCTCTTGGCATCGCGTCCTGGTAAACCTGGATCTCTCTCCCTCTCTCCCCGGGTCGCTCTGAGTCTTTCCCCTGTTTCTCTGGGTTTTGTCTCTCCGACTCAGTACCTGTCTCTATCTCTGAATCGCTGGTTGTCTCTCCCTTAAAGAGTATTTCTTTTCTGAGCATCTCTGTCCTTTGTTTCTGGGTTTCTGTTTGTCTCTACCCCATCTCTCTGAGTCTCTGTCTCTGGTCTTTCTGTGTCTCTGTCTCTTTGGGGTCCTTGTCTCTTGGTCTCCCTGTGCCCAGGTCTCTATCTGGTCTCTACCTATCCCTCTGTGTCTCTGTCACCCGCTAGCGCCTGTCTCTCTGCCCACCCCCCCGCGACCCCCTCCTTCGCCCTCCAGGTCCCTCACCGCGTCGCGGCTGCTCTCCGTGCTGCTGCCTTCTTCCACTTCTTCCTCTTCCTCAGCCTGCTGCTCAGCTCCTCCGCCGCTCGGAAGCTCCTTCACTCCCTGGGGCTCCTCCGGGGCCTCAGGCGCCTCCGGCTCGTGTGGGTCCTCGGGGTGCATCTGGGACTGCGCAGCCCCTTGGAGCGGGACCTCCGCGTCGCCCTCTGGGGCCGGAGGCGGCCGGTACCTCCCGACCCGGCCGCTCGGCGTCCCCATGGCCGCCTGGTGCTCCAGCGGAGTGGGCGTGCCCGAGTTCCGGGGGCGTGGCCTGACAGCGCGGGGCTGTGGCCCAGGAGGCTCCCGAGCGCTCCGGTGCTGGGAAAGAGCTCCAGGAGGCGGGGCCTGAGAGATCAAAGACTGGAACTGAGCGCTCCGGGGGCGTGGCCTGGAGTTTCTAGGGGCGGGGTTCGATGGCTCCCGGGGCGTCACACCCCCGAGGGCCAGACCCGAATTTGAGTTAGGGTCTTAGCACGCCCCCTACTGGCCTCTCCCTCCTACCCAGGTGTCGAGCCTTGTACCCTCCCAGCAACTCCCCACGATCCCTTGGAGCACCCTGGAGCGACCCCATCTCCTTCTCCCTCCGGGACTCCGGCGTCCGGGATCCCGCACCCAAGCCTGGTAGACTTGGCTCCGACACCACTGTAGGGGGTAGCAGCGTCCTCTCACTCAGATCCAGGAGTCGAGGCTCCTAACTTTCCCTCCCTGAACAAACCAAGAGTCTGCGTCCTTTGCTCCTCCCAGGGGCTAGATTCCCAAACTCCAGCCTCCCTCCACCCCCGGGAGCCCAGAAGGCGGTCTCCAGCTCCCTCCTCCCCCGCAGCCCCGGCCTCCTCACCGGCTCAGGCTTCCGCGCGCTTCCCTCTGCGCTCTGGGCGCTGCCTTTTCTGTCTGCGGGACAGGTGGCTGGGGAAGAGGGAGGAGAGAAAAGCTGCTCTGTCCCCCTCCCCAGCAGCCCGGAAGTGGAACGGGGGACAACAGGTCCAACAGCTCCCGAGGGAGGAGGGAGACCAGTTTGCCCCGCCCGCGGCCGCGGCATCCGGCCATCCCGGCCCCACCCTCTGAAAAGCCAGCATCGCGACCCCCTACTCTGCTTCCAGCACCGCCCCCCTGCCTGTTCCTGTACCCTGGAGGGCTAGGCGTTTTCGTCACCTACGTATGAGTGCCTCCTTAATGCCCAGACCCCGGGAATCCTGAAAGGAAGCGGGTAATGGAGATAGGGGCCTCTCCCCTCTAATAAGCCCTTTAGAAGGGCTCCGACCGGTTTGGGGAGCTGGGCAAGGGGAGAGGGTGCCCTGAGCTGAGTCAGAGACCCGCCCAGAGAAAGGGGAAGTGTGATCCCCCCACTCCACTCTGCTATGGGGTGGAGGGCAGAGGTTAAAGGTCTCAGCCAGACCCTTTCCTCTCCGGGCAAAAACAGGAAAATAACAGAGAAAGGCACGTGAGAAAGGATTATTGGATGTCGGGAGCTGTGCTAAACACTTGAAACACGTTCCTTTCATCCTTACAGTAGCCTGATGAGAAAGGGGTTACCATCTCCATTTTATAGTTGGGGAAACTGAGGCCGAGGGGGATAAATGTGCCCCGAAGTCTAGACATGCTGTTAATCCCAAGGCTGGATTTGTTCTCTGGGAAGTCCCATGTTCTTAACCATGGGCCACATTGTCCCTCTGGTGCTGCAGGGAAGTGCCTGGAAGATCATTCCAAATGATAGTGACAATAATGGTCACCACTGATAGGGCACCTGCCATGCAGGCCGCGTGCCAGGCACCTCATACAGGCAGACTCACTGGATCATCACAACACCCTATTATTAGTATTATTTCCATTGCACAGATGAGGAAATTGAGGCGTGGAGAAGTGAAGTACCTTATCCTGGGTCTTATGGGTGCGAGTGGCTCCAACTAAGATGGCTCCAACTAAGATGGGCGAGAAGCCCTGCCCCGGATAGGTTTGTTTCTGATCTTGTGAGTTAGGAAAAAATCTCCTCCTTCCCAGCAGCCTGCTTCACCCCTGCTCTCTCCTCCCTGAACTCTTCAGCCCAGACACCTCAGACCAGAAAATCAACAGCACCCTCCCCCCAAATAGACAGAAATACGATTCAGAGCAAAAAAATAATAATTTTTATTTATTTATTTGAGAAGCTCAGGGGCTGGTGAGGGAGGGGAAGGAGAGAGGCCTGGCGATGGCACCTCTCTCTGTACCCCGCCTAGTGCATTCTTAACGGAAATGAGCACCTGACAAAACAAGGTCAGGTAGGGGGGGTCTGGATCCCACAGTGCATGTTAGCTGGAACAGCAAAGTCTGAAAGGAAAAAGACAGGGTTGAAACTAAGGGGCCCCAGCAGACCCCCTCATGCCCCACTGGGGACCCAGAAATCCAAGGAGCCCTTCTTCTTTGGAGAATTATAATTCTGGCCCTGATCCCCCTCCTCCCTCAGACCCAGGAGTCTGGCCCCCAACTGCTCACCTATCTGCTGAGGCTTGGGCAAGTTCAGGTTGTCCATGACCTTGACAAACTCCTCACAGCTGAGGGTGAGCCGCGGGTTCAAAGTCCGCTCCTCCTCCACGGTGGACACTGTGAGCCCTAGTGGCCAAAAAGGAGGCGAGGAACGTCAACCTGGCAAGTGCCCAGGGCCTCCTTTGACTACATTTCCCAGGAGGCTTAGGGTGCATCTGGGGCCTGGGACTCACAGGCTCTTCCCAGACTGTCACAGAGACCATGCTCTCCTCGATTAGCACTATGGGAAATGTAGTTTCCCACATTCCCTAAGCTCTACAAGGAAGTCCCAGGAAAATGCACGCCCTTTGGAATTCTAGGATTCTTGTTTCTACATGAACACTTAGCACACCTAAACACTTGGTTTTTTTTTGGCCAGAGAAATTTCTGGGAATTGTAGTCTCCATACCCCACAAGGACTACAGCAGTTTGTTACTCCCTCTCAAATGGACAGTTATGTAAGTCCCACACCTCCTCCAGGAAGCCCTCACCACGGTAATCATGAGCAGGGTAGATCAGACAGTCTCCTGGAAGCGTGAAGATCTTTTCGTGGACTGAGTGGTACAAGGTCTTAGCACAGCCTGGGGAGGGAAGACTCAGAGGTGAGTAAATCAATAGCAGAGAAGGTTTCTAGCCCATTCCCTCAAGAAAGGGTGGGAGGATTAAATCACAGTAGCTAAACCTTCTTCCTCATTTTCTGCTGGTACTGCTTTGTCGAGGCACAGAAAGAGAGGGAAGGGCATTCTAGACAGAAGGAACAGCATATGTGAAGAATTGAGGACTGGTGAGAAATTCACCATGGTGGTAAGTAATGTTGGGATGAGATCCAGAAGCACCAAGGAGTTGTGCCCTCAGCCTGGGGATGCCAAGAAAGGGTTCTGGGCAGGGAGGCTAGACTAGAAGGTAAGAAACTGAAGACATGAGCCCAAGGAGGAAAATGGTACCATGGTTCCAACAACAAAGCTCTGAGTCCTAGATTGGGTCGGGGGCAAATCTTTTTGGGCCCTCCTTCCACCTTTCATTTCAAATCCTTCAATTGCATAACTGTGTCGGGAGTAGATAAATGGAGGACTAGAAACCTCAGAGAGAAAAAGACAGAGACCAAGATGGAGAGATAAGGCGAGAGGAAGAGAAAGCAAGAGGCAGCCTGGGGATCTGGTCACACACTGCCAGCTCAGGGCTGTTCTGTCTTTTCTCTGATCTTGCCTTGCCCTCCGCTTGCAAGGCAGCAAAATCCTCCCAATCTAGTGTCAACCCCACATTCACCCACATGCACAGAGGACAGCTAAACCCTGAGATTTAAAACTGAGCTCCTGCAACACCTGGGTGGCTCAGTTGTTAAGTGGCTGCCTTTGGCTCAGGTCACGATCTCAGGATCCTGGGATTGAGCCCCACATCGGGCTCCTTGCTCAGCGGGGAGCCTGCTTCTCACTCTCCCACTCCCCCAGCTTGAGTTTCCTCTCTTGCTGTGTCTCTCTCTGTCAAATCAACAAAAATAAAATCTTTAAAACTGAGCTCCCTTCCCACAGTGAAACTCCTGAATCTAACTGCCCCCTCGCAGCCAAACCCCTGAATCAAACTTCACACCCTCCCCTGCCGCACCTCCAGCACCTAAACTCCTTATGGGGTTTAAAAATATGGCCACGTGGGGGAAGCCTGGGGGGCTCAGTTGGCTAAGCATCTGCCTTCGGCTCAGGTCATGATCCCAGGGTCCTGGGATTGAGTCCCACGTCAGGCTCCCTGCTCAGTGGGGAGTCTGCTTCTCTCTCTCTCTCCCTCTCATGTCCCCCACCCCCACTCATTCTCTCTCTCTCAAATAAATACAAATCTTTAATAAAAAAATTAGTGCTTCTGTCTGCTTCTCTGTCTGTGTCTCTCTGATCATTCCCTTTGAAGAACCCAGCTGCCGTGTCATGAAGACAAATTACCCCCATGGGGAGGTCTCTGTGGTGAGGAACTGAGGCCTCCGGCCAACAGACAGAGCCAGCTTGCCAGCCATGTGAGTGAGGCACCTTGGCAGCAGGCCCCCCGACCCCAGTCAAGCCTTAGGATGACTACAGCCCAGACGCTGAGCCGGGACCAACCAGCGAAGCTGCTCCCAGAGTCTCAACTCTCAGAAACTACGTGAGATAATGTCCATCAATGTCAATCACTGCTTAAGTCATTAAGGTCTGGGGTCCCTGGTTTCACAGCGACAGATAATGATACACCCTTGCATCTAACTGTCCCCCAACAAGCAAACTGCTGAATCTCCCTCCCATTTGCGAATCCAGGAATCTAATTTTCCCTCATTGTAGCAGCTAGACTTCTTCGATCTAATCCTGACCCCTAAAAGTCTAACACTCATTCATTCATTCTTGCAACAGGTACTTCAAACCCTGGCACACACAGAACCGTACTAAGATCTCAGGCTAGGGAAAGGGGCCTATGACCTTGCTGGAAATCCGTCCGTCCACACCCTCGGATGAGCAGGGCATCTCCTGTGAAGGCCATGCTGTGGTCATTCAGAACAAAGGTGACACAGCCTGGGGTGTGGCCAGGGCTTGATCGGGTCTCCAAGGCCTGGTGGGGAAGGAAAATACAGTTACCAATAAGCCAAGAGCTCCAGCCTCATGATGAAACTGGCCCCAGAAGCCCCCATCCCACCCCAGGATCACATCTAGCTAGCATTGGTGGGGGGTTGTTAAAGAATTAAGTTTGGGACGCCTGGGTGGCTCAGCTGGTTAAGCATCTGCCTTTGGCTCAGGTTGTGATGCCTTTGCTCAGGTTGTGATTCCGGGGTCCTGGAATTGAGTCCTGTCTTGGGCTCCCTGTTGAGGGGGGGCATCTGCTTCTCCCTCTGCCCTCTCCCCCTGCTTGTGCTCACTCGCTCTCTGTCAAATAAATAAATATAATTTAAATTAAAAAAAAACAAATTAAGTTAGATTCCCAGACTTAAACCTCATGCCAGGGTAAACTCCCAATGAATTAAACACTTAAAGCAAGAAAACCGGGGGTGCCTGGGTGGCTCAGTTGGTTAAGCCTCTGCCTTCAGCTCAGGTCATGATCTCAGGTTCCTGGGATCAAGCCCCACATCAGGCTCTCTGCTCAGCCCGCCTGCCTCTCTGCCTACTTGTGATCTCTGTCTGTCAAATAAATAAATAAAATCTTTTTTAAAAAAGCAAGAAGGGCGCCTGGGTGGCTCAGTTGGTTGAGCAACTGCCTTCAGCTCAGGTCATGATCCCAGACTTCTAGGATCGAGTTCCGCATCGGGCTCCCAGCTCCTTGGGGAGTCTGCTTCTCCCTCTGACCTTCTCCTCTCTCATGCTCTCTCTCACTCATTCTCTCTCAAATAAATAAATAAAATCTTTTATAAATAAATAAATAAATAAAAAAGCAAGAAAACCATAAAACTGTGACAACAACAAAAATACAAACAAATATATATGATCTCTGGTTAGGGAAGAAGATTCAAATGTGATCCCAAGGTCATAAATCATTACAAAAAAATATTGATGGTTTGACTTTAAATAAATCTTAAGTTTCTGAGTGGCAACAACACCATAAACAAAAGTGAAATGGAACCAACAAGCTGACAAAATATATTTACGACATATATGCACCACACAGTGGTCAATATGCTTCATATACAAATAGAATCTTCAAATCAATAAGAAAAAGATAAGCACACTAATATAAATAGGGAATACCAAACACTCATTTAAAAGTATGTTACTGAGGAGCGCCTGGGTGGCTCAGTGGGTTGAGGCCTCTGCCTTCGGCTCGGGTCATGATCTCGGGGTCCTGGGATCGAGCCCCGCATCGGGCTCTCTGCTCAGCAGGGAGCCTGCTTCCTCCTCTCTCTCCACCTACCTCTCTGCCTACTGTGATCTCTCTCTGTGTCAAATAAATAAATAAAATCTTTAAAAAAAAAAAAAAAGTATGTTACTGAGGGGCGCCTGGGTGGCTCAG